GGCTCTAACGAATACTCTCAGGAAAAAAAGCAGGTGACAAATTACAGAGAGGGCCAACTGTGACACAACAGAGAGTAGAGGGGACGGTGGGGATTCGGAGAGCCCAGGCCAGTCTTCAGGGGGCAGCCAGGACTAAGCTCCAGCCAACTGCTGCAATGTGTTTAGGTGGGAACAGCATGGCTAGGCCTGCCAATTTTTAAAGAAAAGCCAGAAATCTGGATTTTTATGTCAGATCTCCCAATTTTGAAACACTGTGTTAATTAAGATACTATTAGTGCAGAGTGAGCCCCAAATGGTGTAGCTTCTGAAGCCCAATCTGGACACAGATGGCATTTCCCAGACAGTGCACACCTGTCATTTTCAGGTCTCCTGTCCCCAGTTTGCCTGCAGTGTCCCAGTGAGCTGCTCAGGCCACTTCAAAGTTACTGCTTGGCTTAGGGGAGGTGGCACAGGACCAAAAAGACGGAGCAGCCTCTTCTCCCTGGACACCTGCCCTCATCCCAGTCCCTGAAGTGGAGGTGAGGAAAAGGGAAACCAGGCAAATGAGGGGGGCTCTTCCAAAGGGACCACAGGCCCCATGGCCTAATTCACCTCCTGCAGGCGATCCTCTGATAAAGAAGGCAGCCAGGACTCAGTGCTGGGACCAGAGGGCAGACTGGGGGCTGAAGCCCCCACAATCTCCATCAGTCACCTCAAATGAACATAAGTGGTCTGAGTGACAAAATGTGCTTGCTGTGCAAATGCAACTTCAAAACAAGATTGCTCACAGTGAGATACCACTTCACACCCACTAGGATGGCTATGGTCAAAAGACAACATAACAAGTGTTGGTGAGGATGTGGAGAAATCGGAACCCTCATACATGGTGCGTGGGAATGTAAAATGGTGCAGCCACTTTGCGAAACAGTCTGATGGTTCCTCAGAAAGTTAAACACAGAGTTGCCATATGACCCAGCAATTGCACTCCTGGGTATATGCCCCAAGAGAAATGAAAACATAAAGCCACACAAAAACTTGTTCAAGAGTGTCATTCACAGCAGCATTATTCGTGATAGCCAAAAGGTGGAAACAACCTGAATATCCATCAACTGATGAATGGATAAACAAAATGTGGTGTATCCACACAATGGAAATTATTTGACAATCAAAAGCAATGAAGTACTGATACAAGCTACAGCATGGACAGCCCTTGAAAATATTAGGCTAAGTGGAAGAAACCATTAAAAAAGACCACGTATTGTCTGCTTACATTCACATGAAATGTCCAGAATAGGCAAATCTATAGACAGAAGAGAGATTAGTGGTTGCCTAGCATTGGGGTGTGAGGGAAAGAGTTAGGCGATGATAGCTAAAGGGGATGGGGTTTCTTTTTGGCACGGTAAATGTGTTCAAAAATTGACAGTGATGGTTATGCAACTCTGAATATACTAAAATCCACTGAATTGTATACTTTAAATGGGTAAATTGTATGATACATGAATTACACCTAAACAAAGCTGTTACTTAAAAGAAAAAAACCCAAACTAAGATTGCTGCCCTTAATCACCTTCTATTAAAAAATTCTGCATCCGTATCGCTGTCTTCACATCAGCCCCACTAGAGAAGACAGGACAAGAGCTACAAAAGGATGGTTTCCCTCAAAGGCTCAGGGCTCAGCCAAGGGTGACCCACTGGCCTGGTTTGCCCAGGACTGTCCCAGGGTGAGCACTGGAAGTCCTGTGTCCCAGGAAATCCCTCATCCCTGAGGATTGAGAGAGTTGATCACCTAGTGCCAATCCTTTCCCATAGCACAGGAAAGCTCTGCCCTTTAGAGCTGCCAGTGGGTAGAATGGAATCTCCAGATAAATAATCCTCCTCCCTTTGGGTGTAAGTCATCCTCTTGCTCCCCCAATGGTCAAAAGGTATTTTTATTATTGTTGTTCCCATTTTACAGATGAGGAACCTGAGGTTCAGAGAGATGAAGTAACTTGCCAGAAGCTCACAGGAGCCAGACATTGAACCAGGTCTTTTTCTAAAGCCCAAGGTACCTCTTCTACTCACCATATTGTGTTTCACCATACCACCGTGTTGACTGTCCAGGAACACCCTAGATTGTTCTTGCCCCCTGGGAAGGTAGTCAGATATCCAGACAGAAGAAGCATGAGTTTCCAGCTTAGTATCTCCTAAGATAAGGAGACATGTACTGTTTGGTGGTTAACAGGACAGACTCTGGAGCCGAACTGCTCAAGTTTGAATCTGGGCTCTGCCACTACTTAGCTGTGTGACCTTGGACAAGTTGCTTAACTTCTCTGTGCCTCAGTTTCCCCATATGTAAAATCAGAAAAATTAATAGTACTCTGTGTGTGCGTGTGCGTGCGTGCGTGCATGTGTGTGTGTGTATGTATCACATAGGATTGTTACGGGAAGTAAATAAATCAGTAAGTGTAAGAGGCTTAGAACGGAGCCTGGCACACAGCAAGTTTATTAAATAAACAAAATTAAGCACAGATTCATATACCCAGAATTGGAAAGAAATCAGATTAGGCCTAACAAAAACCAAGCAGTGGGATCAAATCACGGAAATAAACTCTGACATTGTGCTCTGTTCCTTCCCATGAAAGAGTTTATGGTTTAGGAATTGCTGGAAGCTCTCCAGACCATAAACAAACCTTTAAACGCAACCTGGCAGTGGCGATCTGAGAATCCCGACTAAGACGGGATGACACAGTGCAGGGTTGCAGGCCCTGCCTCACACTGACTGGAGCCTGGGGACCCTCCTATCACACCTGCCCTGGAAGGCAAGCAGAGCTGAGCGTCCTCCCACTGGGCAGCACCTGTCCCTCCGGTCAGCTCCCTGAGGGAGTTGTGATCAACATCATTCTACAGATGTGGAAACTGAGGCTCAGAGAAGTTCAAGAATTTGTTCAAGGTACAGTTAATAATGCATAGAGTTGGGATTCAAACCTAGGTTGAATTCTAAAGCCCCTTGCTTTATTGCTTCCATATATTAATTATTATTGCTGTGCAACAAATTACCCTAAAACTTAATAGCTTAAAACAACAAACATTTATAATCATATAGTTTTTGCAGTCCAGAAATCTAGGAGTGGCTTGGCTGGGTGGTTCTGGCTCAGAATCTCTCATGAGGTTGTAGTTAAGATGTTGGCCAAGGCTACTATTATCTCAAGGCTCTACCAGGCCTGGAGAATCTGCTTCCAAACTCAGTAATGAGGCTGTTGGCAGGCCTCAGTTTCTTGCTGTCTATTGGCCCGAGTGTTCAGTTCTTCACCATATGGACCTCTCCAGAGGACTGCTCACAACATGGCAGCTTGCTTTCCCCAGAGCATGAGATTTAAGAAAAAGAGAGCAGAGAAACGAGAGAGTACCCAGAAGCTGCCATCTTTCTAACTAATCTTAGAAGCGACATACCATCACTTCTGTCTGATATTGGGCACACAGACCAATCCTGGTACAATGTGGGAGGGGACTACACTAGGCTGGAAATACCAAGAGGCAGGGATCAGAGGGGCCATCTTGGAGGCTGGTGACCACACTGCCCATCTTTCTAAAGACAAGAAGGCACAGTCCTGCAAACAATAAGGCAATATCCCTGCAGAAAAGTCAGAGAAGGTAATTTTAGTCTAACCACTTTTGGGGGATTGTTGTTTATTTAACAAACGTTCAGTTCACTCAAGGCACTGGGCTGGCCCTGTGGATACAGTAAGGAGTAAACCTAGAGCTTATAGTGACTTTTGGCAGAAAACAGGAAGCAAACCATGTGGGTCCTGGGGGAAGAAAAGAGGGAGAGGCCAAGAAAGACAGCTGGAATCACATGTGGTTCTAAAGTCTAGTCCAGGTGTGGGCTCATCCTCTGACAACCCGGGTTTGTCTTCCTGGGCTTGGACAACACCTCCACAGAAAATGGAGAGCAAGAAGGAGGATGGGGAGGAGTAGAAGGCAGAGGAACAAATGACCTTAGCAGCTTACCAATTTCTGGAATTTCGCAATTAGACATTCTTTCTTTAGCTTGAATTTATCAGAACCTGTTTTGAGCCAAATTTTGCTAAGGAAGTGGAGGTGGAAAAAGAAAGAGCCAACCAGATACTAAAGGTGGATAACGGAAAAGTCAGAGGCTGGGGTGTTGGGGTGCAGAAGAGGCAGGTGGTTCCTTAAAAACCAAGTTCTGGGAGTTTACAGTTTCAGTCTGTTTGAAGGTAGCACCTCTGAGCCCCGGGGAAATCAGAGTCCTGTACTACCCACTCAAAACCATTCGTTATTCATTATAATTACCTTGTTAAATAAAGGAATTAAATCATTTCCATGGACCACCTCCCCCCCACAGGTGTAATAGGAACCTAGTAGGTAATATCTTTCATTGGATTCCCTCCCTACCCCTTCTCCCAGACACTTCCTCACCTGTTCTTCAAAACAGATCTCCCCTAGGACTAGGGAAAGTCACTAAAAACTCTAAATGATTCCGTTTCCCCACCTGGATAAAGCAAATAATACCATCTCCTGCCTACCCCATAGACAGAAAAGAAACTATACATGTGGAAGCAATTTTATATTCTTCGAGATGGGGGAAGGAGTAAATTCCGAGAATTCCGATATGCACAACAACATTTTGATTCCAAGCGGCCAGGTACGCTGATAACTCCAGAACAGCAACGTTTCCAGGGCGCCTGCCAAGCCTGCAGGTGCACCTCCAAATCCGCCAGCCCACCCACGTGGGTCAGGGGAAACTGATTGGGTCAGGGGAAAATCAGTTTCCCCTGACCTGGTAGGAAGATAAGCCAATCAAACGTTCTCCACTGAAAACCCTCCCGCGCCCGCGTCCTCGCAGTCCCACGGCCCTCGCGTCCCGGGGCTGAGCTATCCAACCGTCTCCTCCTACTCGGACCCTCCCCTTCCCTCAGCGCCACAACCGGGGCAGCTCCCGCCATCCTGAAAGACTACAGCCCCCGGCATGCCGCGCGGCGGCCGTCGGAGCCACGTGACCGCGCCTCGCCTAGCGCCGCGATCACGGGGCTCGGGGAAGATGGCCGCGCTGACAGCAGAGAACTTTGCGGCGCTCCAGAGCCTGCTGAAGGTAAATTGGAGGGGTGGGACAGCGTGAGGCGGACCTTTGTCCCCGGGACTTTGGACGGAGCAGGAATTGGGAATAAATGGACCCTGATTTGGAGCCATGACTCCGCCACTACTTCTCTGTGTGACCCCGGGCAAGTGGTTGTGCTTCTCTGAGCTTTTTGAAAGCAGGAACAAAATTAATACCGCCCTGATACCGTGGTGGGGGAACGAATAAGATAACGGAGGTGAAGGCGCTGTAAATGCCCCCTACTACTCGTCTCTGGGGCTGGCTTTCGGGATTGGTGCATTGGGGTGGTAAGTGCTAGATCCGCGTTGCCGGTTCCCCATTCCAGCCCGCAGCCCCTCTGCGCTCCGTGGTTGAGAAGTTCTCTCCTCAGCGTCCGCCCAGCCCCGGGTGAAGTGTGCCTTCTATGTTCTCTAGAGTCCCGGGTTTTCTGTACTTGCTTTGACCTGTGTAAGGGTCAAAACACCCTCCTGATAATCGTTTGAAAGATTGTGAAGTTGAAAGGGACGTACTTCATAGGGCTTTGTAGGGATCAAATGAAATGATGGATGGGAATTGTTTGCCTAACTTCTGACTTCCCTTATAGAAGAAGAGGCGGCTTTCTCTTCCTGCGTATAAGTTGTTACTAACATTATGCGTCTATTTGCCTGTTGCTGTCTTTCTTACAAGAGTATAAGATCCATGAGGGCCTTTTTTTTTTTTTTTTAACTCCAGATGAAGAGGGCTAAGTTAATAACACTCAGCAGTTCGTGGCACAACATCATCATTGGTCCATACAGTGGTCCCTCTCTTGTTTTAACCGCCTCCCCGGTGTTCACTCATATTCTCCATCCCTAAAGGCCACTATTGTACGTTATTCACAAATGTATTCCCAACAAGTGTATCCCTGACACCTGGCAGACAGCGTGTGTTCAGTTCAGTAAATGGCTGTTACATGAATTAATGAATGAAGTAATAAAGCTGGGACGGGAAACCTAGAGCTCTCCTCTCCCAGCCCAGTGCCTTTTCACCCTCATTGTGGCTGCTCTGCCTGCCACCCCCGTGTGTATTCGTCGTATAGACTTTTTTTCTTTAATAAACTTCTTAAATTGTTGTTAATGTGTAACACACACAGAAAAGTGCACAGATCATAAGTGCACACCTTAATGATTTATTACACACCTATATAACCACCACCACTGTCAAAAAATGAACCATTACCAGTACCCCAGATGTCCCTCTATTGTTCCTTCATTACTTCCCTCATTCTCCTCCCCAGTAGCAACCACTATCCTTACTTCTAACACTATCAATTTAATATTGCCCATGTTTGAACTTCACATAAATGGAATAATACAGCATATACTTATTTGTGTGTGTGTGTGTGGGAGATCAGCCCTGAGCTAACATCCATGCTAATCTTTCTCTTTTTGCTCAGGAAGACTGGCCCTGAGCTAACATCCGTGACCATCTTCCTCCACTTTATGTGGCCTGACAAGTGATGCGTCAGTGCGCATGCGGGATCCTAACCTGGGCCGCCAGCAGCGGAGTGCGCCCCCTTAACTGCCATGCCACGGGGGCGGCCCCTGTGTCTGGCTTTTTTTGCTTGCCATTATGTAGCAATAGTTCATTCATTTTCATTCGTATTGTCCTTGTACTTTCTTTTTTTAAAAAAATAAACTTTTTATTTTGAGATAATTATAGATTTATGTGCAGTTGTAAAGATAATACAGAGAGATCCTATTTACCCTTTACACAGTTTCCCCCGATGGGAACATCTTGCAAAACTACAGTATAATATCACAACCAGGATATTGACATTGATATTGTCAAGATACAGAACATTTCCATTACCACAAGATCCTTCAAGTTGCTCTTTTTAACCACATCCACTTCCCCTCTGCCCCCATCCCCTCCTTAACCTCTGGCATTCAGTAATCTGTTCTTCAATTCTATAGTTTTGTCATTTCAAGATTTTTATATAAATGGAATCATACAGTATGTAACCTTTTAGGATTGGCTTTTTTCACTCAGCCCAGTTCTCTCGAGATTTGTCTACGTTGTGTGTATCAGTAGTTCTTTCCTTTTTATTGTTGAGTAGTGTTCCACGGTGAGACATCTAGTTTGTTTCTAGTTTTTTGCTATTACAAATAAAGCTGCTATAAACATTTGCATACAGGTTTTTTTGGGGTTTTTTTGTTTTTTTTTTTTTTTTGAGGAAGATCAGCCCTGAGCTAACATCCATGCTAATCCTCCTCTTTTTGCTGAGGAAGACCGGCTCTGAGCTAACATCTGTTGCCAATCCTTCTCCTTTTTTTCCCCAAAGCCCCAGTAGATAGTTGTATGTCATAGTTGCACATCCTTCTGGTTGCTGTATGTGGGACGCGGCCTCAGCATGGCCGGAGAAGCGGTGCATCGGCGCACCTGGGATCTGAACCCCGGGCCGCCAGTAGCGGAGCGCGCGCACTTAACCGCTAAACCACGGGGCCGGCCCTGCGTACAGGTTTTTGTATGAACATAAGTATTTATTTCTCTGAAACAAAGAACCAGGAGTGCAGTTGTTGGGTTATTTGTTAGTTGCGTGTTTACGGTTTTTTTTTTAAAGAAACTGCCAAACAGTCTTCCAGAGTGGCTGTACCACTTTACATTCCCAGCAGCCTTGTGTGGGTGATCCAGCTCCTCCTCATCCTTGCCAGGATTTGTTGTCATCGCTGTATTTTATCTGAGCCATTCTGATAGGTGTGTATTTATATCTCATTGTGGTTTTAATTTAAGTTTCCCTAATAGTAAATGATGTTAAACATCTTTTCGTGTGCTTATTTACCATCTGTATATCTTCTTCAGTGAAATATTTCTTTATGTCTTTTGCCCATATTCTAATTGGATTGTTTGCTTTTTTTTACTTTTGTGTTTTAAGATTCTTTATATATTCTAAAGACTAGTCCTTTGTTGGATATGTGATTTGCAGATATTTTCTCCTAGGCTATAGCTGTCTTTTCATCCTCTTTATAGAGGTGTATTAATTTGCTAGGTCTGCTGTAACAAAGTACCACAAACACGGAGGTTTAAACAACAGAAATTTATTGTCTCAGTTCTGGGGCCAGAAGTCTGAGATCAAGGTGTCAGCCAGGTTGGTTCCCTCTGAGGGCTGTGAGGGATGATTTGTTCCATGCCTCTCTCCCAGCTGCTGTTGGTTTCTGGCAGTATTTGGTGTGCCTTGGCTTGTAGATCTCTGCATTCATCTTCACTTGACATTCTCCCAGTTTGTGTCTCCGTGTCTAAATGTTCTCTTCTAATAAGGACGCTGGTCATACTGGATTAGAGTCCACACCCTATGACCTCATCTTAACTGGTTACGTCTGCCACAACCCTACATCTAAATGAGGTCACATTTTAAGATGCTGAGGGTTAAGACTTCAATATGTGAATTTTAGGGGGACTCAATTAAACCCATAACAGAAGCTTTTACAGAGCAAAAATTTTAATTTTGCTGAGGTACAATTTATCAAAAATTTTTCCTTTTATGAATTATGCTTTTGATGTCAAGTTTAGGAACTCTTTTCCATGCCATAGATCCCCAAATTTTCTCCTATTTCTTCTAAAAGTTTTATAGTTTTAATTACATTATATCTTACATCGATTTTGAGTTAATTTAATATGAGATGTGTGAGACAGTTTGAGAATTTTTTGTTTTTGTTTTGCCTATGAATGCCCAACTGTTCCAGCACTATTTATTGAAAAGGCTGTCTTTCCTCCTTTGAATTGTGTTTGTAACTTTGTCAAGAATCAGTTGGGCATATTGGCGTGGGTCTATTTCAGCTTCTCTGTTTTCTTCCATTGATCTATTTGTGTATCCCTCTGACAATACCATAGGTCTTGATTACAGCAATAAGTCTTCAAATCAGATAGCCATTCCTCCTACTGCAGTCTTTATCAAAATTGTTTTAGCTATTCTAGTTCCTTTGCCTTCCTATATAAATTTTAAAATGATCTTGGCTATATCTAAAAAAATATGCTGAGATTTTGATAGGAATTGCATTAAACTTGTATATTAATTAGGAGAGAATTGACATCTTTGGTGTGTTGAATCTTCCAATCCATGATCATATGTTTCCCCATTTACTTAGATCTTTGATGTCTTTCATCTTTGTTGTGTAATGTTTAGCCTACAGGCAATACCATGTTTTATTGCGCTTTGCTGTGTTGAGCTTTGCTGATACTGCATTTTTATTTTTGTTTTTATTGCAGTGACATTGGTTTATAACATTATATAAATTTCAGGTGTACATCATTATATTTTTATTTCTGTGTGGATTACATCATGTTCCCCACCCAAACACTAATTACAATCCATCACCATACACACGTGTCTGATCACCCCTTTCTCCCTCCTCTCTCTGCACTTCCCCTCTGGTAACCGCCAGTCCAATCTCTGTCTCTATGGGTTTGTTTGTAGTTGCTGTTATCTTCTATTTATGACTGAGATCATATGGTATTTGACTTTCTCTCTCTGACTTATTTCGCTTAGCATAATACCCTCAGGGTCCATCCATGTTGTCACAAATGGCATGATTTCATCCTTTTTAATGGCTGAGTAGTATTCCATTGTGTATATATACCACATCATCTTTATCCACTCATCCCTTGATGGGCACCTTAGGTTGTTTCTAAGTCTTGGCTATTGTGAATAATGCTGCAGTGAACATAGGGGTATATATCTTTACACATTCGTGTTTTCATGTTCTTTGGGTAAATACCCAGCAGTGGAATACCTGGATCGTATGGTAGTTCTATTCTTAATTTTTTGAGGAATCTCCATGCTGTTTTCCATAGTGGCTGCACCAGTTTGCACTCCCACCAGCAGTGTATAAGAGTTGCCTTTTCTCCACATCCTCTCCAACACTTGTTGTTTCCTGTCTTGTTAATTATAGCCATCCTGACAACTGAGGTGATATCTCCTTGTAGTTTTGATTTGCATTTCCCTGAGAGTTAATGATGTTGAACTTCTTTTCATGTGT